CCTTCAATGTTTAAATAGATAAATATTCTTTCAAATCAAACAGTCATATTAATTTCTGATAATAAAGCAGAGCGAGAATAAAGCTGATTTCGAAGTTCAAGGCGTGCGGTCAATCGGTGAGACACGTAACAGGAAAAATGGTCGCTTTTACTATTTACGAAATTCCTGCGTAATGCCATCATTCCCCTAATCGCATATTTTTTTCTTCACGCGATTCGCGAACCGCTGCCTCGCGAAGATTCAATATACTCATCGGACTGGTATCTGCCAATGGTTGCGAAGGCGGCAGCCAGTTTATACCGGGATTGGCCAAGCAAAACGAAGCCAGACTGGGAGCGACGTACTACGATTGGCGGAAGACAAGCCGTAGGCACGTGTCCGTAGACCCCTCCGTCGTCGTCGCTGATAAATCTTGCCTCGAGATTAAGCCAGCCACCGACTCGACTCACAATCGGAAACTTAGTCCCGAGGAGAGTACACGAGCAGCACGCAAAATCATCGTTTAGTACGGATCAAGACATAGCAACCTGTGGTGCAACAGACCTGTCGGTGCCAAACCCTTGTGTGTTCCAAATTGATTCTGATTCGATCGTTCGACGGATCCTCCAACTTAACGGTAAGCGAATTTATCATTTTACTTGGTGATCGCTGTTTCTCTCTTATCGATCGCGATAAAGTTCGTCTATCTTTGTTCAACGTACGTGACGCGTGACATGCACGCGTGTTCAAACTCGAGAATCGCCTCTGTTCGGATAACGAAAAATTTTGGACGCATAGAATATTTGTAGGTGAGTCGCAGTGAATAGCAAGACGTAGAAGCATCGAACGATTCGAACGTGCGTTTATCCGCGATAGTGTTCTATTAAGGCTGCAAGGGCAGGTTCTCGGTTTTCCGAGGTCATCGTTAAAGGCCAGCGTGTCCCACGATTAGCCCGGCTGATGATACTCTTTTTGTTCTGGCTAAACGGACTATATTCCCGGTCTATCGAACCTTGATGATACCTCGCGTCTACCGGTTATCTGCGATTTCCGCGCCCGCGCCGCCGTCTACCTGCATATTACGCCCTCGCGACTCGCAGCTGGGAATGCACTTCCATGCACCTGCGAATCCGCCAAGCTTACTCACTGCGCGAGCATTCGTTTTCCTCTCATCCAAACTTACTTTCTTCCGTACTTTTCTCTCCATACTTTTTTCCTCTCTTTCGTAATACGTAATTTAGTGAAACAATTTTCGAATACATAATTTCTTGACAATCAATTGGAATTCGTATTAATTAGAAATTGTGGCGTGCACGGAAGCTTGTAATAATGAAAATACGACCTTGAGTCACGTAGACACTGCGGTTTGCAGTAGATAGAATAATTCGACGAACCCGACCTGGATTCTGATCACGACCGCACCGCGTCCGGAATTTTTAGGAACGATTACCGGCTTACTGGAAGTCGAAGCTCTGGGAAGAAGCTGGTGCAATTAAAATTGTATTGACTCAGCAAAGACAATTAGTGGTCGATTCTGAATTCACATTAATCGATTCTACGTAAAACCATAGTTTTTATTAGTAATCGCATCAGCTGTCAATCAATTTTGTTATCTTCGAGATAACACTCGTACTATTATAATCAGTCATAATTATGAATCATTGCATATTTGAGAGTCATGAATTGTGAACAAAACGTTCTCTCGTTGGAAATAGATTTTGCATAGGAAGTTCAGTCGCCCGATTATGACGATACTAGGATTCATGTTTTGTCGCGGGGACGAGAGACAGACAGCGTTTGCGGGCGCCTCGAAGCTCTGCGGTCACTTCGTTATCGCATCCGCAAACACCCTCGCGAAACGCTCTCGTTTCCGCTGTTCGATTTACGAGGAGAGTAGTCGTTATCGCGTCCTTCGTATCCTCGACTGATATAATTGCTCCTCCGGAACTGGCGCGATCCGCGTTCGGATTTTACGCAATCGCCTTCGCCGAACCAGATCTCAGGTCAGCTGCAGGTCGTTTGCTCGTTAACGATCTTTAGAATTGACCGAGCAATCGACGGCTCGAAGCTACGGCAAACGTTTTATATTGTTTCGTTCGAAGATTATATTAGAACAATCGATGTTCGATCACGTCACGGTTTACGATAATGAGCAACCAGTTCAAAATAGATCTTCGATAAGGAAATTGATAAACCAGATAAGTCTCGCGACGCGAAATCAATTGTGTCTCTCGTTGTACTCGTTTGAACTTCGAAGATTGTTCAGCAGAGGTTCCTATAAATTGCATTAATCCGTTATCTGCGATTCGAGACGTTTGCTGTGTCATTATCGCTTTCCGCAGGCATCTCGTTCTGTTTTTCAGATGCAACGTCTGTCACGGTTATCAGCGATAAGAGACCGCTCGCGCCACTCGCAAGTGCGCTCGTCGAGTTTGAAAAAAGAAAAAAACCTATAGATGACATGTAATTGGATTTCGTCGCGCTTAGTTATTATTACGTCTTCCGTTATATCTCGCTGTCTTTTGTAAACATGCTCGCGAAACGATCGAGATAGCTATAGTTCATTACGTTTGAAATATTTTCACAGGGAATTTCGATACGTAGTTATATCGTTTTACTACGCCGTGAATGTGCCGAGGAAATCAGATTCGGTGGGAATAAATACACAGCCGCAGTTTTCCGGCTATTGTTATTCGGGTTTCGTATTATTCGCGCTTTTTCGCTCGGTTATCGACCGTTTCAATAATAATTCTCGCCCATAGACATTCCCGAACATTTGCACAGACCGGGCAATAAATCTGGTTCGATGAACCGGCTGGTCAGGGTGAACGCACCGATGACCCGATAAAAAATGATAAGAAACGCAATTCGTAACATCAACGTGATAAGTTGAGTCACCTTTCGGATGTGACTCTCGCTTGTCAGCCGAGTTTACTTTTTGCGTTCGCTCGTTCTCGGTGCATCGCCGCTTGGTCGCCGTCGGTTCTCACGCCAAATGATATTTTTTTCCGTGAAAATCGTTCCGAGCAGAAGGCGAAAACAAAATTTCATTTGCGGTCTCACCAGGCCGAGTACATAATGCTCTGCGGTTTTTACGTCTATTGCGCGTTAGCGGTTCTAACGAATTTTTGAGACTCGCCTGTAGGAAACAACACGAGACGTCGGAAACTGAAAACCAGAGGTAGTCCAATTCTTATTCGGTTTCTCGCGTGAAAATCGTCGCTCTAAATTTGAGACCGTGAACGGTGGGCGAGTCCGCCGACAAAAGGGGATCATCGCGGCTCGCCGGGAACAACGCGGCGCAGGTTCCTGGACCGGTGACCGGTGTGTCCGCCCACGCGAGGACGCCGGTCGTTCTAAAAATATACAATCCGGTCGGCGCATACGGTGCTACCGGTTTTAAATCTCGCTGCTACCGGCCAGGAACCGATTCAATGCTTTACGTGGAAATAAAACGAGAGAGAGTGGCCCGTGGCCCTGGCTACCGTGGACCGACACGCGTTCCTGAATCGTTCGATTCCTGGATCGTTCGTTCCGATCGCCACGGGGGTAGTCCAGCCCGTGAACGGTCATAAGAATTATTCGAACGCGTCTTCGTGTTAATCGCTCGTCCATAACAGTAATGTCATCCCGATGCAACGATTCGCCTGGCCTTTAATTCACTCTCTCTCTCTCTCTCTCTATCCTCTCGTCGTTTGATATCCGATGACAATGTCTCTCGACGCCGTTCCTGTCATTAATCTATTCTCCTCTTGTGCCTCGTCGTCAACCTGCTCCGATGAATGCAGATAATCCTCTCGATTCGAGCAGCTCGCTCGCTCGATCGCGTCGGAATCGGTGCATCGTGTAGAGATAATGCGTGTACTTGACACGGTGGCGAGGTTTCGTTGAACTCGTTGTCCACCGATTTGTAAGTCAAATGAAACGAGAGATGACGAGTTACTATAAAATCGCGTGGAAGGAGAGTATAAGGAAATAACAATTATTTTTTCTCTTAATTCGTGCAGTTATTCTGTCGATCTTAAATCCGTTTTTCGGTATTCTTTTGATCCGTACGTTCAGTAATACGCCGATACTTATTTGTACGTGATACGCATTGTACGGCTGGCAGCAGTCGTATGCATTGTGCATCAACGTTCGCCGCAGGAGCGCGTTCTTGTTTCTCCTCCTGTTTACCCATTCATTGGCCGCATAAAAAATTGTCACCCAGCCAAGTATGTATCGCGATCCCATGAATATGTTTCGCGTCCGGCAAATTAACACCCTCGCCGTCTGCGATTTATTCATCGTTCGACATCGACGTTTTAAAATTCAGTTTATAAATCTATGCTAGCTGTAAAAATTGCATTTTCCAATTAGTCGCAAAACGGGACATGGTCAGTGAATGATTAATGCGAACTCTGTATTTTTTCGATTTTGTATACACCGTCGCACGGGTGTTTCGATTCGTTCCGCGTGGGTCCTCTTTCACTTTGGCCACGTTTCTGAGCTGCATTTCTCTCGTTATAACTTCTATTTTTTCAAACGAGGGAACCAACGTCGAACCTGTTGATCTCTTCGAGGAGCGATCGATCCGCTCGACTGTAATGCTCGCGGGAACTCGAAAGCTCGACCGCGTTTTGGAGAACTAGCCTCTTCTTCGAGTTAGTAGTTTGCGCTTATTCTACTTCACGGAGGCCCTGGCCGTTCCCGACTCCCTTTGCCTCCTATAGCGATGACACGTGGAGGGGCACAAAGCCGTGTAAGGGGCCCCTCTCGTGAACGACGCTGGCTGCCCTAACCGGTAAATTTACAACGCTACGGACCACGGGCTGGCACACAACCACCACAAGGTTGCGATCTCGTCCCCCACCTTTCCAGGCTCGCGATCCTTCCCCTGTCGCCCCTTTCGTATTTCAAATCCGGATGCGTGCGCAGCGTTTCTCCCCACACCCGGGCGCGCAACCGGCCGCGCGATTCAACCGTGGCGGGGGTAACTCGCTTGCCGCCGCGAGGCAGAGCGTGCGGGCCGAGTGGCTGAAACGAAAGCACAGAATCATTACCACGCTAGACCTCGAGGAGTGTAGACGCGTTTCTCGTTACCTAAACTCAGTCGAGAGTTTGCTCGTGTTTCGCTCTCTACTTTCTCTTGCGCGTTTGTTTGTCCGGTTGCGATCGAATCCAGACGTGCCACCGTACAACGCGCGTGTGATAGTCGCGCCAAAGAGGACAGTCGCGAGACCGCAGCAACGTGCTGTTACGACGTTTCCGTAACGCGTGTGTGTGCGAATTCGAAGAGAAAACGGTATCACGATTGATACTTCTCCTTATTTTTTATCCCTGTAACTCCGTCGTTTGGTGTTTCGGTGTGTCGCGAACTGACGTTGACACGAGTAGACACCGCCAACTGTGCATCAATCGTGTGTCGTGTATTTTGATAGAGAACGATCGAACTTTGTGAACTTCCGTTTTACGACTGTCATCGTCGAGAAACGGTAATCACCCATGGAAAGTGATCCATTCGAGGATCCACCTTACGAGCGATTCGGATGACGTGATCGACAGGCTCGCGTCGTACGAGTGACGAGATAAGATTCTAATCACGAGTAGACAGATAGATCGTGTACGCATCTCGTTCGGCCGAGATTCGCGCGTTTATCCACGCGGGTTTCGTCACGTGCGTTTATTCACGAAGGAACAATCGGTGCGGGCAACGAACATTTTGAGCGTGCGCCGTGTTCCCGAGTCGTCGGCCCCCACGTGCACACGTCGAACATCTGAGGACGATTTCACTCCGTTTCCGTCCTCAAGACGGAACAGAGACGTCGCGCGAACAAAGAGAGAAGCAGAACGAGAGTGGTGGTGATTTTGACCCACACAGACATTGGTTCGATTGCAGCGATCCGCGAGAAGAGAACAGCGAGGAGGGCATAGAATTCGTGTAAAAGAGAAATTCGGTGCACCTGCAGAGAAATGGCGATCCCGTTCGCTCTGCCGACCGAAGACGACGCTGAGGCCCAGGGACAGCAGCTGGAACAACTGATGCTCGACCTGTACGCCGCCCTGCAACAGGTCCTCAGGACCAGGACGTCCCAGCATCCGTCGTCGCGAAATCGTGAGTTGAACGATTTTTTAAGGCTCTTCCGCATCTGCCTCGACGTTTTCCTATACGTCATTGCACGCCTGGCGAGATACCCGTCGCGATGAACGGCGACGAATCTCTTATCCATCTGTCAACCTTCCTGAGAGTATGTATAAGGAACGGGATTAAAGTTAATCGAGTCGCTCCGCGCGGCTCTATCTTTCTAGTCACGTGCTTCGGGAACTCTTTTTTTTTATCTCACTTACTTCTTCTGTTCTTCCATCTGGTTCCATGGCTAGGACCTGTCCACAGGGGTAGATACGCTTTTATCGCACTCGGTATCCTCTCGACGGCTTTTCAGAATGACGTTTTACAAGCTCGTAACGGAGCTGACGGATGTTCAATAAAAAAATAATTGTAGTCACTCGAAAGTTAAGAGAATATGAAGTTCTGACGAATTATATACTATGTAATGTATATAACTAGATAGGTTAATTTATTTATTCGAAGCTGTGCTTAGATGTAAAATCAACTTTTATTAATGTTGTATATTGAATTACTCTTTTTTTACTCTGTATTTATTTATTTATTTATTTAATTACGGTAGCTCGTTCACTGTTCCGTGACGACTACGGCACGCTTTGTACACAACAATGAAAAATTGTTAATCTGAATAAACTGTGCTTACGTTGAAAGTGAATGACACATATGTGCGACGCAATTAATTTCCACTTCACACAACGGGGGGAAAACGAGCGAGCACGCTCGAGAGTAGTAGAAGCACGGGCATACGCTGCGTCTATCGACTAGAAACGCAACACGTGGTTGTCGCGCGCAACAACGCGGGCCAGTTTCCCGTGGAACAACGACGCGTACAGATAGAATTCCTTTATTCCTCCTATCTTTCCTTAGCGAATTCCTTATCTTTTACGAAGGTGAAAACCAATTTCTAGACTCGCGTCTCATGCAATCTTGAAAATGCAACGTTTCGAAAAATCGTTAAAATTCTCGCGAAGGAGGAACGTAGTTGATTCTCATTTCTCAATTCGTCGAAATCGTCTCGAAACGCTTTGAGTTGTTCCGTTTAGGTCGTCGACTCACGTTGATCGATTTTCTCGAAAAATATGTATGTTTGACAGCGGTCGTTGTCCCGTGAGTCAGCGTCGAAAAATTTCGGTCCATCGGTTGCGAGATATCTCGACACCTTCGCCGGAGATTTCGCGGACAGGAGGAGGAAAGGACACGTAGACGTTGCGAACGTAATTAATTCGATTTCAATATCTCGACGAGACCGATTCCCGTTTGTCAAATTTCATTTTGTACGTACGTAAGCGATTTTCGTCTCGTCGAGTAACTAGAACTGTACGCATTCGGAGAATCGTGGCACGATAAACGTAACTAAAAAACACGTTCCGAGAAACGCATACTTAACCCGTTGCCTCGCGGTTTTTAGCTGCATGCTTCGTATTCGAACGCCGTACGAACCGGGGGACCTTGAAACTTAAACACAATAATTTTCATAGCGTCCACGATTCTCGATTCAAAATACACCATCCTGCCACCTGCTCTTACTTTAGACTTTAATCCTCGTAGCGACGCTCGTTTCGTTCGAACGATCCTATTAAGTCGCGTATGAAGATAACAGATAGTCGTAGAAGATTCAGCTCGAACGAGAGCAAGGAACGGGGAGAAAGCAGAGAGGGAACGAGGTAGAGGCGTAAATTGCGGTAACTTATATTCGGCTCGTAATGAAACGCGGTTTTACGAGGGTGCAGCGAGAGAAAGGGGGCGAATATAACAGATGTAGCGTGGGTGTACGAGTCGAGAGTATGGCAGACGATGTCCGGCCATGACCCTGCACCGCTGCTCGAGCCTCCTTTACGGCGAAAGAGACGGCGACGGCGGTCGGCCGGATCGACAGGAGAGTAGGAGGAGAGCGAGCGAGAGAGGGCGATAAGCGGAGAGAGGAGAGAAGACCGATGGTCAGGCACACCGGAGTAAAACGCGCCATAAAACGCGATGCAACGGCTCGTTCCCCGAATCTCGGATGTCGATCGTCCACCAGAGATTGCAGTATCGAGCGTTGCGACGAGCACTGCCTCGATACCGGTATCTCACCCGCTCCGAAATGTGCATGCTCGATCTGAAACAGGTTCCGGGTACTTACTCTTGATGCGACGATCGCGTTTTCGTAGAAAAAAATGTTAAACGGTGGGAGAGCTTTTTATTCGGTTTCAATCGCGAATAAAAGTAATTCTGCAGATTTAATACCGCGTTTCCTCATTGCCCGAGCGGTTTATTACGGATACGTATGCTGCGGTAGTTAGTTCGGATTCGAGATAGCAACGTTTAAACTACCACTTAATGCCCAGGCCTTAGATTCGCGTAGAGTATCTAACTCTCCGGGTCACAGTCGGAGCGACCATAATTTCATATTACTGCCACCTATAAAACGCCACTGATCGAAGGTCGATGCACTCTGGCTCGAAACCGGCCGATCAACCGGGAGAGGAAACGTCGTCGTCGTCGTCGTCGTCGTCGTCGTTCGGACAGCGTTCTGGATCCGTTTTGCCGCTGTTTCACGGCAATATGTCGCTAACGAGCCTTTGATCTCGCCGGCGCGGCATGCAAGTGTCCCAAAAGAAACCGCAAATTGCATCCGGCCGTCGTCGGTGTGTTACCCTTGTTTCGGTCGTGACGCAACGTTCCTCAAAAGCCTTTTACCTCCTGGCAAATATGACTTTTCAATAATCGCGGTCGCACTAATACCTCCTTCTCCGTTCCGCGAACGTGTCGTAAAGTACCATTGTACGTCTCGTCACAACAAAACGTTGGAGAGGCGTACCGGTTGAAACTTATTAAAACATCTCGTATGCAAATGAAACGCGGAGAGCGGACAGTGATCGAAGGGAATGTTCATTACGAAGTAGAATTACTGGCAGGTGCTCATTATTTCTCGAACAAGAATAGTCGTGGTCGCGTGTGCGAGGGAGGGTCAATAACCATAGTTCGCAGTTTCGGAGGGAAGATGCAGAATCTGCGAGCGGTTGAGCATCGCCGTTGCATCGTGTGTCGGAGGTAGTTATTTATAGAAACAGCTGTGGCCAGCCCGTTTCTGTCTTCTCCCGTGACATTTGCGCGAAACTTCCCCCTCGTCATCGCGTAAACGCGGCCACGGTAATAACGATTACGCGCGTTACCCGATCGCCTCTGTTCGTAACACTTTTAAACCTGATTCCCGTTCATTCATTCGTTTTTTCGCTATCTGCCGAGCGGTGGACGTGTTTTGGCGAACCCTTTCCCACGAGTCGATCCGATAAGAATCGAATCGTACGGAACCCCTGCGATCGCTCTAATCGGAGGCGTTTAATTTCTCGGTAAGAGAAAGATCGTGTGTCGCCGCGTAAAACGATAGCCCCTCGACACTGAACTTCGTATTATGTTACTTTGTCGTAAAACCCTAACTGTTATCGACACGAGCGGTGACGCTCCGAATTTCGGAGCAAAATGGTTTCGTAATTATTCCAAGAAACAAATACCTCTTTCGTTCGAAATCCCATAGTTACCGAATCTCGGCTAATGCGTAATCCGAACGCGAGCTTCGAATCCGCCTCGTCACGGTTGCCCCAGCGGAAATCCTGAAGACGATCGGTAGGGAACGTGGCCGAAGAGACTACGACGGTCTATAGAACTGATGAAATATTGAAAGGAATTCGTCATTGCCGATTGTTAGGTCCTCGATTTCCGTCTCTTTTCCATTCATCCACGGAGGCAATGGTTATTGGCCGAGCGCCCGCTCTAAAATATTCATCGCTTCCTCTTTCCTTTCGTTGACGGCTACCTATCACCACCGATGAACCGTTATATTTTTCACACCGCAATCGCAATGACACGTTCTTTTCTTGATCCATGATCTTCCGTCAGAGTCAATTCTTATCGTCGTTTTTAATTAAAACCGTGTTTCTACGGATTTCGGAATTCCGAGTCATTAATATTCATGTAGGAGCGCACACGTGCCTTGCTTTCGTTCCTTCCTTCCTTCGTACGCCTACGGTGCTACATATTTTTACGCTCCCCCGAGCGTATTCTCTAGCACGCGTCCTCCAGCCGTACGTGAAATTTGGCTGATTGTATCTAACCCTTTTCCTTCGATTACCCTGTCTCCTCGGCCTCGTTTATCACGGCTCGTCATCGTGATTTTATCGAGCGCGAACACCCAACCCATCGCAGACCACTTGGAAGTTGCTTCGATCAGATCTCGCGTACGAATCTATATTGAAAATTCTTATTATGGCGATCTGTATAAAATTGCAAGTTTTTCTTCGCCGTTAATGCGTCGCATCATCTTCTATTTGCCGAGCCTCTGGCGTTCAGCTCGATGCGATCGATTTCCGTTTAGATCATTGCTCTTCGATTATTAGCTACGACCTAACGGAAAAGTGGAAAGGGAGGGGAGGGGGAATGGCTCATAATTATAATCGTCGAATAACGGTGGCAAAACGTGACCGACTTGTAAAACGTAACGAGCCCCCTCCCGGTTAACGATGTAATCAACGACGCACAGTTTCTCAGCGATTATGCCCGCTAACGGAAGCCGCGCATCGCCCTGTCGTTACTCGATGGAAATCCACGTAGAACCGTTGCACCTGATGCAAGAAAAGCACAGGATTTCGTATTACTTCTACCGTCGATATTAAGTGATTAGGGGGATTTCGTTTTTTAAAGTGTACGAAGAACTGAGAAACAGTCTCTGACGTCTTCTTCCGATTAGACAAGTCGAAAAGCTGACTAGACGAGACGAGACATAATTTTCTCATTACCTTCCGCGCCACAATTTCTTCACCGTTCGTAGAAAAACATTTTCAGACATAGAGACATTGCATCGGGCAGTCGATCAGTTCCGAGGCTCGATTAATTCCGCCGACAACAAAATCGCGAGTCACGTAGTCAATAAGAGTGTAATCAATCGGTCGAGCGAGTCCCCGGCACGGTCGGTTTTCCTCCGGCTCTCGGGCACCGCAGAATCCGATCGCTGCTGGCCGGTGGACAGAATTTATTGGGCAATCGTTGGACAGCCGTTGGAAATCGATGGCCGTCGTGGCGCAACCTTGTTCCCTCATTTTTACCATTCCCTCCCGGTATCGCGATAACCTGCTCGCTGTACGTGGCCGTTTTTTGCTCCGAGCGATCGCGCATTGAAACGTTCTCGACTCGGGACCGCGGATCGTTCGATCCCGAACAACGAGAAAACGAAAAATGGGAATTGTCTTGTACGCTCGGGCGAAGGGGTGGAGAAACGTTTATATCGGAGTCGGAGGTTTTACGAGATTTCCGTGAAACGGTTCGAAAGTGGCTGATTCCGGCTTCGAGCGAGACGCAGAATCCGTCGCGTACAGCCGCGAAACGTTCGCCGTGGTACGATTTAAGGAACGTTCTCTCGGACGATGGTCCATACCGTCGGGGCAATCATCGTACGTTTACGACTTCGGTTCTCTCACTCGTTGGCTCTACACCGAAGAGATATATTCCGTAGTTGCGCACGCATAAATCGGATGGTTAAACTCTTGTACGCGGCGTGACTCATTTTATTATCTCTTGTTGCGAGACACTCGAATTCGAGTACGCAGATCGCAGAAATGTTTCATTTGCGATGACTCCGCACTCCATGAAAGTGCGCGTTCTCCAGAGAGCGTCCAAATCGTGTAAAAGTTAATCCGCACTTCAGACTCGGTCTTGGCAAGAGATACAACGCATAGGTTTTGTATGAAACGCGGCGGCTCGACAATGGGTCGCCTCCTATTGTCCCGGAAAAGTGGCAAAACCGATAAAAACCGGTGCAAGAGGTGCACAGGAGTGCTCGAGCGCGCGCCTCGACACCGCGCGTTCGTGTTCGTGCGCGTCGCTGCGGCCTTGAGAGGGGTTCTTTGTGCAGTTGAGCGTTCACTGCAGTTGCAGTACGCGCGCACACGCCCGCAACCTCGGCACCTACGCGCACACCAGCTCGCGAGACGAGGAGAGATCGCTCGAGCGCCGATGCCGATAGGGTTGACGTTACATACCACGTACACTGTAACAAGTTGCGTTGCACTTACGCGTACAAAGGGCGCTCCGCATGAGTCACGTGCTCGCATATGCTGCCAGCTCGAATCCGTTCCTCTCCCTTCGCCCCCTTCCCGCTTCTTTCGTTCTGCCTCTTTGACATAACGCGTGTACGTACATAATGTACACTGTCTCCCGCATGTCCCCGCTGTACGCTTCGAAATTTCCCCGTCCTCCTTTCTCATTTCTCAAAACACTCGCTTCGTGAACCTCGTCTTTGTTTGATCAATTTTTTTCTCAACACCGTAATTGCAAAACTTTAAACGGTATTCCCTCGATGAATCCGAAAGAGTTTCAACTTCCCAGTTACACGCCAGCGAACGTTGCGTGCATGCGGGTGTTGGCCACGTGCGCGATGCACTTTTTGCTCGGGACGCTTTTATGGGGCGCGCCGTCCCGTGCTCGTTCCCTTTTCGGTTCTGCCTTCTTTCGACCATTTAATCCTCTAAACAGAATCTCTCAGAGGCTGTTCAATAGGAATCAAGCTTCAAATTGACGTTTAGTTCGAATCAAAGGAATCGATACGGGAAATAATTCGAACGTCTGATAAATCAATTTTTGTTGAATACCGAGTGACACGAAATCGATTTTGCGACATAGTGACATTTTACGAGATAGAAAGCGCGGAGATCGTTTTGGATAAGAGTTCGAAGTCTGTTTTGCAAGCATCGCGAAAGGCTCTCGCTCGGATCGCGATGTGCACGAGTTGCACAAGTGAAAGAGCCTCGACGCCTCCGTGGAGGGCTTATACCGCGGGTATATACGCCGCGCGGACGTTTACTCGAAATGTCAAGGATGCAACCGCGTTGCGAGCGTATGCACTGTACGCGCTCGGACGCGAGAGAGACAATGGAGGCCCCAGGCGTGGAGGAATTGTTATTTTGTCACGCATGGCTTCGATTTACGCGTCCACCGTTGTTCCCCCCTCAAAGAATCAGCGTTTAAATGTTTCTGACAGCCCACGGACACCGATGTCCCCCCGATCATGCGGTCCGATCTCATCGATCGTCGACGGGGAAAACGATTTTTTATATGAACGATGATGGATGCGACGACTGATCGATGGGGCCTTTCATGGAAATTTTTATTTGAAAATGTCATTAGGTCTCATCGATATTCCTGCATTATCAAATAGACGTCCAGCTTGATAATTACGTACATATTTATATAAAACAGAAGATTAGAAGTTGATTCTTTGAAACTGAGTAACATGGTTTCTGAGTTTCGTTTCGACATGCACGATTCACAGACATGCCGTCTGCCTTGGCTGACCGTCGGATACCGTAACGAGGCTAGGACTGTATCTCGTTTTTCGAGGAAACGCGCACTCGTTCCTCGCGATCGCGATACTATCTCCAGATGCTTATCTGCGTCGTGTGCGTCTTATAAATTAATGTTTTTAGTGGAACCGGACGATTCGTTGTACGGAAACTTGGTGGAGTCGTTTGGAAAATGTACGGCTACGCCTACCGCGTTTGCGAGTAACGTGTGTCGAAATCGCGGAACCGAAGGCTACCGGAGCGTTGTAAATTTTCAGACAATCATTAGCCAACAATGTCGCTGGTTGCCATTACGGGGCAGCCCGGTGGTCGCCGTTGTCTAGCCAACAGCGTGCCGCATTAAACCTTATAAGCGACGCGTATGTACGTATGCTCCGTGTACGTACAATACCGTGTGCTCGACCGTCGTGCGTAGATCGTACCGTTTCCATTGTGTGTGACGCAACCAGGCCTGCGCCGCGATTAATTATCGATGGCAAATCCAGATATCGAGTATACGAATCGCGGCACTCGTATTTCGTCGATTAAACGGGTATCGTAATCGGCCATCTGGTTTCGAGACGGAGTAAAGATCGCTACGACCGATCGGAACGATGATGAATCGTTGACGCGGTTATCGGACGATCGAGGAAAGCTTGAACTTTACGCATAGTAAACCAGAGTCTTGTCTCAGGATCGGGGTTATCGGGCCGATTTTTCTCAAAGATTTATGAGAAGAAATCTCGTCGAGGCGACGCGTTCCGTTCGGTCAGGGTCAAAGGCGAGTCGTTCGGTTTTTAATTGTACATCTTTTCAATTGCAGATCGGATACCGCGACGAGCCGGGGACGAACGGCATCCGATGGTGCTGTTGGACTCGGATTTGTCCCGGGTACCGTTGCCCGATCTGGTGCTGTCCGCGGTGGAGCAACTGCCGCCTCCGACGCCGCAGGTGACCGTGTCCGCGCCCAGCAGCCCGACCAGAGACGCCGCGTTCCAATTTCCGGAGTGTAGCGGTGAGAGCAGCCTGGCACCGGTGCCTAGCCCGAGGCCGCGGCCGCGAAGACGCAGGCTCGCGTCCGAAAGCAGCGGCGCCGCGACCGCGAAGAAGACGCCACCGGCCGCGAAACAGATCTGCAACAACTGCTTCGGCGACTTGCATACACAGGCGTACAACCAGAACCAGTGGACGAACATGGGCGCCAATCTCAGGAACATCGCCGACGACTTTCACGCGTCCAAGACAAAGGTCGGTGAATTTTTTTCGTACGGAACGAATTTAACGAACGTTTTGTACCAGCGTTTCTAGTTTTTACATTTTATAATGGAAAATGTTTACGACGCGAAGAGTACAGGTGAGAGACGTAAAAATAATTGCGATTCCATCCCCCCAGCCGCGATGCTCTTTTTACTTGTCGTAAACGGCACCCTTGCATGCCGTTATAAAACTCGAATACACAGATGCCGAGGCCCGCGGAATAGTAGTCGGCATTTTCACGCGCACAATTTCTAAATTAATTTTACTCGACCCAAAACCTCGCGTCGAATTCTTCGCCCTCTTGTACAAAACGTCTTTTCGCGTAATGCCCGTTTCGAGCAGAATCGTAGTTCGCTCCCACCGTGCGATGAACTATCAATTGCGTTTACATAAAATTCGGTAGCGATTTCCACGAAATCTACCCCACGTGCCACGATATCGCGATGGCCAGGATTTAATGCACCCACGAATGATCGAGTGTCCCTCATTTCGGTACGGAGCAGCGTCGCGACGTTTCTCTCTTTCCCGGTGTGGAAGGAAGAAGAGGAATTGACGGCTGCAGTGGGTCAGCCGGGGCCATAAACGCGAATTTAGTTATATCGGTGGCAGCGACGGTGTCCCACGGGCGCAATAAATATCCGCCCGGCAGCGTTAAGACGTCTAGTATTGCTCCCAGCGCAACGCGTATGACCCGGCGGGCACTGCCTCGCCACTTCATCACCGTTTTCGTGCCTCTCCCTTCCCCGTCCCTTCCGATCGCCCGATCAAATATGTATCGATGGCCCTCGAGACGATCCTCCACTGATTTTACGAGTCTGTTCCCGGTTTGTTTTCCCAGCGAGAGGTGAGAAAAATGTACACGAGTTTCATGACGGAATTCCATTTATACACAATCGAATTGGTCAGTCGTAAACGAATTACGGATGACTGGATTCGCCGAATTAGTGAAACATTTAGTTCGAACACGCGTTAAAAGACACTCGTGTTACGATTCATAAAACGAAATTAATCGTGTGTAGAGTAAATCTGATGAGCGAGATAAGAACAGACTCGATCCTCTGTGGTAATCATCGAGAAAGAAGTACAGGATCCGTTTCACGGTTTTACGAGATCTACCGCGAACGATCGAAGAGGGAAAGACGAACGAGCCGGAAGGGCGTTCCTTCTTTATCCTAGCCGTCTCGATTCACTTTAAAGATTCGCGTCGGCGCGATACCCTGTCCCGGAACGTCTAATTATTGCTGGCTAAGTGGCGGTAATTGAAGGGAGCGAACGGATCCGTGAAATTGAAGAAATCTTCACGTTAAGCTGCGCTTCCATGAGAAGATCGGATACCGATCGAGCTCGGTCCGGTCCGGCCCGGTGACTCGAGGACGGGAGAATCGGGATAATACGAGTCGTGGCGAATTCTCCGTTGGGGGAATTGTCTCTTAGGGGTGTTTGCGTTCCATTCCTCCTCTGGGGGAATCGAAGTGTCGGATTAATCCGCCGATGGACTAGAGATGCTCCGCTGTGTCTTCTCGTGTTCTCTTTGTGTACACACACCGATCCGTGCACGTCCCGGTCATCTCTGGGCTATATATTTCTGGACTGGAACAGAGCAAACAGGTTTTCCTTGGGAATTATATCAGGACTTTTGAACAAGTTCGATCCCATCGTTCTTCTCAAAGAAAATTGTTCTCGATGTCAATTAACGTCGAATGCCAATGGGTTTTTCGTGCATCGTCACGGTCTCTCCCGTTCTTTTTCCCCGTTCGTCATGGGAACAGCCATCGCTTTACATATGCATGGAGAGTAAGCGAGCATGTAACGGCTAAGTGGTCACATCCCCTTGCCTTACGTGAAAGTTAAGTGGGCATGGCAGCACGAGCCGTGGCCACGGGCCGAGAAAATTATCTTCAATTATCTCGTGCAATCGTGGCCTCCCCCACCCTTCTCATTGCTCGCGATCCTCCTCGACCTCGCATGACTCGCGAACCTCCGCGTGATTTATTATTCAAGGAAACGGTTCAGTTCTTTGTTCCGTGAATTATCGCGCGATCAATCAAAATTTCAATTAACTCGGAAAGGGTTTTTTCGAGATTAGTAGCCACGTGAGAGAGAGAGAGCGGTCTTCTGAATTACATGTTACGTTATTATCATTTAATTCATAAAAATTGCTGAACGAACAAACTGTACTCGAAAATTTAATCAATGAAGTCAAACATCCAGTTTCCAGTTCGCAGAAGCCTTTTATGCATCGCGCGCAAGAAAATTGAGATGAAATATTCCTCTCGTACAGTTCGGCTCACGTTTCCGCGAACTCTACGCGATTTAGCCGTAACGTGGTTAATGAAACGTATACCACCGGCATTTATCAGTCGTCCGAGCGCGAATTGATACATTAGACGCTCGGCAGCGTAACGGGCGAGCGCGGCAAGAACCGTCCCTCCGGTCTTCTTCTTTCCTCGGTGGAAAATCGATGTTCCTTGCCGCGGGGAGCACGCGATCGGCCCGTGTTCCGTTGCACGATTTATGTCTTATTTTCGATCACCTGACGCGATCCGACCGAACCGTGGATTTTATCGTCCACGCTGCGTTGCGCACTTGCTGCCTCTCTCTCTCTCTCTCTCTCTAGGCCAGACCGCAAACCTCCGTTTTCCATCGGCTTTTTCTTACGCAGGCGAAACTCGCGGCCCGATCGCGCAATTACGTTGCACAATAATCCATCCTGGTAATTCTGTTCGCTTTCTACGCGTGTATTGGTAGATATTTATCGTCCGTGTCCAATCCGCGAGTATCGACGTCCAATTATGGAAAGGCGACGCACACATTATATCGAGATCTCATCTTCCGAGTAAAAAGTTTTCACTCTGCGGAAGCTTAATTAAATTTGTATCCTCGAGCCTTCGACGCGTTGAATCCAGAGTTGGAATTATTAATCCCTTGGCCGGGTTGCTTGAATTAAACTTCCGAGCGTGGCCTAATCCCCGCATTAATCATCGAGCTAAACTGGGTAAAAAAGAGCCGGTAAAATCGATATTCGCGCGAGTTTTGCGCAATCGGCTGCCGCGGACAATTAAAATTTACCGTCCCGGGAACGATAAACTCCGACAACGTAATCCCGGCTCGCGGGTCGTGCATAAATTTCGCAATTTCAAAGAGCGAGCGAGCGAGCGAGCGAGAAACTGCGCGAGGCGTTCTCTTCCGGGCCCGCAGCGATAGAGCCTGGCCACCACCTTTTCATACGTACGTTCGACCGAACGGAGAGAAAGTAAACGAGTCGCAGGTGGTTCGAGCCGCGTGAAACGATTCGCGCTTCCCTGGGTTGATCGTGAAGAAATTGTGTGTCCGAGGTAAAGATCATGGGAGCGGGCGGGGAAAGTCAGTGCGTATAAACGGATTTGAATAACGCCGGCATTAGATTCGCACCGTGCTCTTTGCGATGATTGTATACGAACGCGGGGAGACGAGGAAAGATGAAAACGGAGAGGCGAGGGACACTATTAATTGACGAGGAGGACTCCCACGAGAAGAGTCCATAGACCATAATTCTTTCTTAATGTGACGCTCTCCTATGGTTCTCTCGCTCGTACCGTAATTTCTTCTCTCGAGGCATCGAGTGTTTTTCTATCTCGCGCGAACAGACGAAATGGAGAGGAGCGGTATTGGGACGGATCGAAGCCGACGATGACCAGAGATATTATAGCCCGGCCCTCTCCTATAAAAGCCTCGGAGATTGAGCCCTCAATCCCCGTTTCTCTCGCCGTTTATTATTGCACGTCCGGCCACCACGAGTGGATTAAGACGAAACGAGGATCGGAAGTCGCGCCGGCTTGTGGTACGGGGGTGTGATCGTGGAAACAAAGGGCGAGCCTCCTTCTAGCCGTCCCTCGGGGTGGGAAAGATACACCGACGGACAGACACACGGAGTCGGAACTACTCGCCTGTCTGGGAAATATTATCGAGGGGCTGCTTATCGGAGATTGTTACGGACCTCCGATCGTTCGAGACGATTAATATTTTAACGAATCGAAATTTCTCATGGATCAATCGATTTTCCGTGATGCGATAATTGACACGACTCTAATCCGATGATAGTTCGGTGGAGATGATAATGAAAACCTTTGTGTCTGGAGCGTGGGTGGTTTCGATTCTTTGGTCCCGTCGGTGAAAATTCTTCAAAGTGGAGAATTAATTGACAATTAACCGGTAGCAATGCGGTGTTCCGTGATTTGTATTTCGCGCAAGTGGCACCGACCGAGGGAGGAACAGAAAAAGAGAGGTGGACCTTAATCGCGTTCCCCCTCGAGCGTCTCGTCTTCTCGTGTAAATTCGAAGGGATCAGGGTGAACTCGATAAAAAGAGCGCGGTGCTTTTTCTACGCCGGAGGCTTAGCCGCAAGGAGTGTCGAATCGACGGTAATTCCGTCCAATTAGGACACTCCCAATTAGAGGAGCCTTAGCCCGCCGGTTCTCCCATCCTCAATCCTTCTCCGGTCCTCCCTGTTCCACCGTGATTCTTACTCCGAGTCACGATGGCTCGTCGAGTCTTTGCGTCAAGGGTCGCGCAGAAAATCCGACCACTTCCTCCTGCAGAATTTCACTTCCCCGAAGTAATCTTATCGAAGCTCTCTATCACTATCGAATTCTTGACGGAGTGACGACAATACACGGTTTATGTTTGCCTTGTTCCAGGCGGAAGAGATCGAGAAATCCCGATTGGCCGCAATGAACCCGGGCTATGCGAGCTCCGGCAACTCGTCCACGGACAGTTACATGTCGCTGTTGATCCTGGCGCCTCTCCGCGAGACTCTCTGGACAACGGTGGCCCTGTACCTCGGCTGGAGGCTGGTGTCACACCTTCGATAGACTCTGGAGTGCCGTCGCGTCGTCGCTTCGACGCGCGATGCCTCGAGGACTCGGAGAATCGCTGACACTTGGGACGAGACCAGAGGCGACCGATGCACCGGTGAACCGGACGACTCTTCTAGCGCTTCAGGGGTTCCTCTTCGGGATTGCCAGGCCAGGGTCGTTTCTGGAGATTCTGCCAAGATGAATGCCGCCGGGAGGATCGCGGCGCCGGACGAAAGCCAGCAGGAAGGCCAGCAGGACTTCTCCTGGGCGTCGCACATAAGACACAACCTTTTTAACCCGTCTTTTATGAACGCGTCCCTCGCGCCGCTAGAGAATGCGCACAAGTTGTTTCATGCCTGGTCCCTCTACATCTACGATCCCTCGCCTCGCGAGAACGACGAGGAGAACGAGGATGAAGACGAAGACGAAGACGAGGATGACGATGAGGAGGAAGAAAGTACAGATAGCGGGATAGACGACGACGGGGACGACGAAGACGATCAGAGCGGAGCTTGTCAATTCGTTAGTTCCGAATTAACCGATTGCCGTTTTTTTGTTTGACAATGCGTATAGAAGAGCCGATGTCCTAAACACGGGACTCCGATAAAGAGTTCTCGTCTCGATACGAGCATCGGTGCATTTCTCCGTCCTCCCCGGACGTACGTCGATCGATCCGCTGCAAGATCGAAGAATTTCGCGCTCTCGACGACGCTGGGCGGACGTGTATCATCCAGCAGAGACTTTGTTCTTACGATCGTTCGCCTTCCGGTTTTCCTGATCGAGGTAAGAGAGAATCATGTAACGTTGTCTACTGGGGAACGCTGCGCCGATCGTTTTAAGAGGGAATCGCGAAGGTGGCGATCAGCCGTGACACGGGTCTGGGCGAGGGTGGCGAGGGAGCTAAGGACGAGATCCAAAGAGGACTTAACCCAATAATCAAATGATGATCTCATTACGGATATAAAATAAAGAGAATTAAATAAAAGTAGTGTGATTCCGGGAACGGGACAGACCGCCGGACAATTTTAATATATTCTTCTTCTCGGGTTTTGCTTGTTTTTTCGCATACGTCTCTCTGTCCTTCGATCGTTCATTATGACACGGCTCTCTGTCCCGTTCTCGCCGGTAGGAAGTATGTATTTTGACGTGGCTTGTAGATAACGCGGTTACCTAGCCGATACAAGGCGGGGCGGAACTCAATCTGAGATACAATGACACCGTGCCATGTCGTCTCGCGAACGGACTCGATGGATGAAAAAAAAAAATCGAAATTATTCATTTTCCATGATCTCAGATCGGAGACTCGGTTTTCGAACGAGGCCGCTAGACGACGGTCATGGCGATGGGTGACTCATTTGTAAAAAAAGTATTTTGATCGGTGTATCTCTCGTTCAATGTATTCGAAAAACGAGGAAAGAGTATCGCACCGATGAGAGAAAGAACGCGAAAAGAACGCGCGTTTATAACGTCAGGTAGGGAAACGGGCGAGGAAACGCGACGCGCGAAAGAGGGGAGCAACGTATTTGTAATTGTATAGAGGAACTTTAAACTAAAATACCTAATTAAAATTCATTAAAATGTAAGTCGACGTTTTTTATAATTAAAGTAGATAATCGATAGACCGAGGATCGCAGCATCTTAATTGGCTGGCTGCGAGTCCCGTGGACAGTTTTCGAATGATCTCCGGTAGCTTAGCTCTTAGTGGGCGCCCTCCGCCACGAAGGACGCCTTTCATGTCACCCAGGACAACGGGTCTCCCGCACCCTTTGCTCCTTCGTGATACTGTTTTTTGTCTAATTTTCTCTATCTTTCCTTCATTTCCATCCGCGATGATAATTATGCTTCTTCAAATTGATCGTCTTCATTTTCGTCGTACTTCTTTTATTCGATTATTTAAAATCCGCTTTTTCTTCCAGCTGCTCCACTTCTTTCTTCTTCGCTCCATTCTCTTCTTTCGCCTCCTGTTATTCGATTCTCTATTCTATTTGAATTAACTTTTGACCTCGTTAATTAGCGCGTATTTTACGGATCTTGGTCATTCGTGTTCGCCGTTTCCGGCGAGGATTTTCTTAGAGGTGGAATTTATAAATAAAGGATATGTAGTTGATGTCCCTGGTCAAATGGGATGAAACCAAAATCATCATAAGGCTGTCGATACGATTGTATAATCTCGTGGACCGTTCTTATCTGTCTCTCTATTCTGTCTCCCAAGTAAAGACTTCTACACTTCGTTGATTACTCGTATTCTTCATTACGATTATTATTATCATTACCTTATTAATATTAATACGTTTTATTATCGTTTGCCCCTTTCTCTTCCACCCCTAAATAACGGATAAGGTATCGTGATGTACTCCGTCGAAGTATTCCAATGTGTAGAGAGTAAATAGTATTTATTTCTAGATATATCGTGTACGTAGCTCGCGCAGGTAATTCTTGTACTGCCATTCGTCCTGATGCTGAGATGCGCGCGTGTACCAAGCGTCGTTCGGTCGAAACGAAAGGAGATAGAAACGGTCGAGATAGATGTGGCCGTGCCTCGCAGAGGTATCTCTTCGAGGCGAGAGTCAGTACGCCCTTTCCCGGTAACGAAAATTTCCTCATCGGAACGACTGCGCGCAGACAGACGTTCTCTAAAGATGAACTCTGATCGATCGCGGTAACATCTTCTTTTCATTGTCTACGACCGACGCGAATCTCGTCGGACAAATTGCCTGGAGTCTCTCGATGTTCGTAAAGTATGTAGTAACTTAACGATAGCGCGCGTTTTTTCGCCTACTATTCGTCGCCAGAGATATGACCGAGTATTTCTGGGGAGCACAAGTTCTGTGGTGAACCGCGCGTCGATTTTATCCCATACCCATGATTCCACCCTCTCGAATTAAATCGGAACGATTGGTGCGACTAAACGCGGTGATTAAAATTGATTTCGATCTTTCGTCATCTTTCGGTCAGCAAAGATTTTCGTTTCACGCGTAGCGTTCGATCTCGATTCCGATAAAATGTCTCCTCGTTCAGGCGATGATAGTTTTTGGGTGGTTCAGCAGCAACTTGTCTCCGGTTGTCTCGTCATTTTTTCTACGTAGAATCTCTTCTTTTTTTATATTGTTTCGTTGATCGAGTTTTCGTCTCTGCTCTCTATTTACCCCTAGGCGGAGGTAAATTACGAGAGCGAGCAGCATCGTCGTACAATTGTGATCTAATAAGGTAGTAAATCGCCGTCGGCACCGTTGAACCAGAGAGCCAGGACTCTCTCGTGGTGCGCGCGAAACTCCTTTATAATTAGCATTCCGACCAAAGGAAAAAGGAAGGAGAACGTAGGTAGTTGTCGAACGCGTAGTAGTAAATCAACTGAATGTTCGTCTTTTACGTGTAAAATTTTTCGTTTCCAATTTCGTATTTCCCTATAGCGCGGCGAAAATCAATGGCCAGATGCGGCCCGTGATCTCCTCGCGGCTATAATAATCGATAAGGCATCTTTTTTCGTTTCCAAGTTCTTTCCTACGTTTTTGCTTCGAGTTTTAATAATACATAAGAGAAAAAAAAAAATAAAATGAAATAGAGCACCGTGAAACAGACAAATTTCCTCCCGTGTACATAGGTGTCAAAAGATGTTCCCCTAAACGTAGTTTTCGCGAGCCAAAACGAGATATATTGATACGAAACAGAAGCTGTTAACAGGTCGATCGAACACATGGGATTTAAGGTACCGCCACAGAAAATGTGAGACGCATGTATATACAGTCGCTTGTTCGTGGGGCCGTGAAGTACCATAATCGTCTGCGATCTGCGTTATGCCCGAGTTATTTCTTTTTCAAATATTCTCCTCTCGTACGCCGAATCGATTTCCTATGTTCTTCTGGTTTCAATTTTACCATGCTTCAGAGAAACGTGTTAAACCATCCCCATCTCCTGCACAGGAGTATTTTCTGCGTAGCATAGCTAGTAGTCAGCCATATTGAGAACGTATTAATTATACGAATAAACATGAATAAAATTATATATATATATATTATAATGGAAAACATATATAAAAATATATATATTTTAAATGGTATATTTGGACATACATACATATATATATATATATATATATATTATTATATGAAATGATATTTCAATATGAAAAGAAAAGTATAGTAACATAGTCGATATAACTCGAGAGAGCAAATGCGGAGAAAACGATTTGAGAATCGAGAGATATGGAACGAACAAAAGAGAGATGTGTAAGAGAAAACGCGGTGATGTTCGTCATCCGGAGACGGTTGACTTGTTTTGACTTCGAGATTGAGACGAGGATCGGAGAACGACAGTCGAGGCTGGGACATAAACTGTAACTGTGACTATGTGGATCGTGGGGGGCAGGCTGTGTCGCAAACTTCTTCCTTCTTGGTCATGAACAAATCCGAGGATCTCGATTATCCTCTTTTAATTTAGTCAATCGAACTGCAACTCCCGTTTGCCGTTGGTCATCAATGAAATCTAATGAAATCCAAAGAGCTCGAACCATGATCGATCGTCCGCGGACGATTCCGAGAGTTGGTGATCATAATACGATTCTCTCGCGAACCAAATAGCTGTAGTAGGAATTGTATCCCGGAAAGCAGCCCGCCCATCCGAGATCCCCGCGCGTCAAAGCGTCACTGTGATCTCGTAATTATTAATGAAATATCTAATTATCGTAACGAATAATCGTATGACTATTGTAATGTGCTCGTTCCCTTGTTCCCGAATCTCCCAACCTTTCCCAAAGTGAGATTAATTCGGAGAAAGATCTCGTGTTAAGTTTCTTCTTTCCTCCCATCCACCATCCCTCTCCCACGCCCCATCCCACTTCGTTCTTGTTTCTTTACCTTTTCCAAATGAGAATTCCCCGTGTAAGTGTTAGCTCGTAATCGTAGTCGTAATCGTAATCGTTAAATGTAAAGAACATAAACTTTCCAATGATCTCCCGGTGGTGTGTTCGTCAACGAGCGAGTCACCGACCAATGGCCGCCGTTTCGTCCCAATTACTTTCGCAGACACGCGGTTCGTTCTTCTCGCCTCTTCCCCGAGAATTTTGTTCGTGTTCCGTTTCTTCTTCGCCTTCGTTACGCGGCACCAAGTGGCGTTCGTTCGTTTCCTCGACACGCGCCACCAAAAGTGTTTACGATTAACTTCCAGATCGCCGCGACGCGACTCTAAGCCAGGTTTTTCACAACGAAAATTGATTTTTTTTCCTCAAAATTCGTGAGAACTTCGAAGGCGATCGACCGGTCTTCATTGGACTGTCCGCACTTCGTCGCACGAATTTTAAAACTCGTTTTTCTTTCTTGTGTTTCTTCTTATTCGTTTCTTTCGTAGCTCGATCGATACATTTATGGCTTTCCAAGTTTAAAGTCGAGGTTGAACGTCTCGTACGATTTGCGAGGACCTTCGACCTCGAGCGAGATGTCTGGCTCCATTTCGATTTGTTTCCCTGCAAAATTAACTGAACTAACGCCGCTCGAATCCGACGGCGTTATTTCGACCGGGGCTACGCCGGAAATCCTACAAAGTTTTTCATACTTTTTTAAAACGCGACATTGGCCATGCCCCGGTTCGAATAGGGAACCGGGAATTTCGAGCGTATTCAAGGAAGAGACGAAGAACAAAAGATATGAAACGAAGAGACACTTGTACGCGAGTATGTGCGAGAGGAAGTTTCATTTGCTCAGACGACTGTCCTAAGTTTGCCATATAACTTACGCCGAGGGTAGTAAAGGGAAAAAGCTAAGTAATAATACTAGTAATAATAAAGATAATAGCGAAGCGAAGATGAGTCGCGTAGAGTAACGTTTTTATGTGGGAAACCTGCGATCACTATTCCAGCCGCTGCGGTGCGTGTATCATTCAGGTGTGCCAATCGCAAATGGCAAGTTTAGCCGCGACGAATTTCTTTTTCTGTACACGCGAACACAGCGGAGCAGCACGTTGCCATTCCTTCGCGTCGATGTTCCCCATTTAACGAGATATTCCGCTTAATAGTAATCGTCTGTCTGTATCGTCTCTCTGGAAGTGACTCGCCGAGACATTTATTTTTTCATCGAGAATATAATAATATATTTATTTATTTTATACGCATCCTTTTAGCAGAACAAAGTCAGCTCTTTATCGCGATTGAGAATTATTCGTCGAATTATTTTTTTCCACAAAAACCTGTACGGTTTCCAAGGAGTCACGTCTGAGAGAAATAAAGAGATCCATTTATAATAATGTCCGAACGTGTGTAATCGTAAACTAAATGTGCTCCGTTTAAACGTAAGGCGAAATGATGTTCGTACCCCATAAAATGCCTAATTGTTAAGAGAGAAAGCCACGAGTAAAAAGAAAAACGAAACGAAACAGAAATAATATAACGTTACCTGTGGCCAAATGTCCCGTGGACCATATAGACCGCCGCGATCTGTAACCACTGTAATGCGAGGAGAGAGAGAGAGATAGAGTCGTTCGAGGTGACGCGAATCTTTATTCGTCGACCCTCGTTCGCGAGTGCGTATGAGAGCGAGCGTGAACGAATTCTTTTGGAAACAAGATGTCTACTACGAGTGACCCTTTCGGGTGGAATCTCGGCGTGAAACGAATCGGTGGATGAGGAAGCGAGACGAGGAGAAGCGAGCGAAATTAAAACAGGGGGTGAGAAAGAGAGGACGAACGAAGATAGAGGCGTGTGGGGAATCTCAAGCCGTTTGTAAAGCTCGCAGCAACCTTGTGATAGAGTCTGGACTCGGATAAAACCTGTTCACCTTTGCTACTTTCCTTCCTTCTTCTCTTCTGCAATGGCGAGCGAGCGCGAAGACGCGAAAGGAAAACGGTTTCCCGTGATCCCTCGACCGTCTTCCTCCTCGGGAGGAAAGGAGAAACGAAAGCAGCGAGACAGCGAACGCAACACGCGACAGAGAGAAATATATATATAATATATATATTGTATATGCTTTTAGAGAGGCGTGTAGTAGAAAGAGTTTTGCGCGAAACCGTTTTTATCGCGAAACGCGGAAAAGAGAGGGGTACTACCACAATACATATATATATTTTGAAACGAAATTTCGTCCAGCTGACCAATCCAAAGAAGCGACCAAATAAACGAAGGAGAGGGAAAACGATGCGAGCCGTTGCACAACGCTTGAGGTGTTTAAAAAAAAGAGATGAACGGAAACGACAAATACGTGTGATAGAAAGAGGCAGGACGAACAGGAGATGAAAACGTACACGCACGGATTCCGATTTTTGTACTCTGTTATACTCTCCCTGTATCGACCGATATCGTGCGATTCAGCGACGCATGTCAAGGAAACGAGGTGACTACTGCTTTCTCTCTTTCCTTTTCTTTTTTTTTTTGACAAATGTTTTGCGTTTTCGCTCCGCGACTGTCCCGATGCGAGTGATTGGACGGAGATGTACGGCGGTCAAGTGATATGTTATTAAAATACTGTATTATGTAACACAGGTCCCCCTTAGATCACACGATGTAAGCGAGAAAAGAGCGGTACCGTTAATTTATTTTGTTTTCTCCTTTTTTTAAAAGCCTCTGTTCTTTCGATCTTTCACTATGCCTCCTCTGTTCTCTTCTTCCTTTAAATTCTTTATCTCAGACGAAACAGAATCGACGAATTTTCTGTTCGATTTTTTCAAATTAAGATGAACATGTTACGTTCCTCATCGCGTTCTCGGTCTCTCTTGATTTTTCGTTCTGTCTGCTTCAACTCGCTCTCTCTTCACTTTCCTTCCTTTCGAGGTTCTTTTAAACGAACGTACGGCCGCGAGTTTGCTCGCTACTCGTCGATCCCTCGACTCCCACGGAAACGAAAAGCTATTTTCAAAAATAGAAAGCCTGGTATCGAGGGATGGACGGGGAGCTGGGCAGAACGAAGCCCGAATCATACGATGCTGTGTTATTGTAAGTCACTACAGACCATACGTTATTGATTACTTTTTTGATTTTAAGTTTATGACAATTTTTTTATGTTAATAATTTTATTTGAGTTCGATTTTTAAGTGCTACGCGAACGTGTATTATTATTATTATCTATTATCAATTTATTATCTAATATGTAATTGAATTATTATCTGAATATTATTAATATTAATATAATTATTATACTGTAATCTTAACACATTCTGTAATTACTCCCCATGGTCGATTACTTTTACGAATCGTTCTCGCGTCCGCTGCCCAACCGCGGGTCGACGCGACGCCTCTCTCTCTCTTCTCTTCATTTCGGAAACAGAAAATGGAATTCAGATACACCCGCGAACCAGAAATATTGTACGCGCGCATAAGTGATGGACATCTCTTCGTGTGGCGTAGCGTCGACCATTGGGAGTTCGCAAAGGGACGGGGGCATCTCTTCGCTACCCGCATGTCTTTCATTGTACAGATTTTTTCACTTTTATATAGTTATTCGATGTATCGTGACGTTGCGCAACGTCGATTTCGCGGCAGTGTCGCTGACATACGGCGTCGCCGTACCAATTTATTGTACTTGATTCTTTTTTATTATTATTATTATTGAATAAATGTGAACACGCCGAAAGTAGAATCTGGAGACGTTCGGGTTTCGCTTCGAGCGCAATTCGATTTCTATTTTATCCTGTCCCTTCCTATTCCTTGTTCACCAAACGTCAATAATCATACATCGTTGGATTACATCAGTTTCCTTATCACGGATCTGGACTGATAAATTTCGGTAGGAAACAGTGTTTTGCGCAATTCACGTAATCGATAAATCTGGTTTAATCCCGCTGATAAGATTTAGTACTTTGTACCAGCTATCTAATAAATCAGGCTTCTAAAGTAAATCATTCGACGATTGCCAATGCAAACAGAGAACTGATTGATACGGTACCGAGGCCGATATCAGAAAGAATCTCAGGCTCATCGACCGTCTCAATACTTTTATTCCATTTAGTCATGAGATGCAAACTAGAGGGCAAGCAGCGATCAGCGAGTTGGCGGGTGATTCGATCAGGAAGATCGACGGGCTATCAATAATTTATTTCGATAATCTTTGACCATCCCCGGGGCCCAGGGTGTACTCGAC